GAGCCGGAGTCCTGGCGAGGGCCTGGCCGGCGGGACGATCCTGGTGGATCTCAGCAGCCCGGCAGACCCGGGGGGCTGAGGGGAGTGTTGGGAGGAGTGCCCAGGTCCCAGAGCTGGGCAGCCACCGCTCCCCGGGGGAGCTGAATCCCACACCCTGCTGCCCCAAGAGGAGAGGGAAGGCGACCCTAGTCCGGGGGGGGGGATGATTTTTGATGGGGGCGCCACCCCAAGATTTTGGAAGTGCTCAAGGCCGCAGTTTCCTGCAGAGGGGGTACGGGCTCTGGAGGGAGGTTAGGGGCCAACAGGAGCTCGTGTCGGGGCTTGGGAGCAGGCTCCAGAGAGCTCCACCCTTGCTGTGAACCAGGGGGCTGGTTGGAAGAGCTCCGGCCCGCCCCCGTTTAAGCAGGTAACTGGTTCAGTAGGCTCAGACACCCCTAGCGGGGGCATGTGCATGCAGAAGGTTTGGGTGGTGGCCTGGGGCAGGGAGTTGGGGGGCAGAGGCCGGCTCCGGCTGGGAGGCGCTCCTGGCCAGTGGCGCAGCGGGGTATTCAGGCTGGCCCCTGACCGGCAGCCCCAGCCTGCTCAAAGAGGCTGGTTGCTTCTCGCTCCTTCCTGTGTCCCACCCCAACGGAGCTGAGAGTCTGTGCGTGCGGCCATGGGGCTGCCAGCGGGGTGGGCGGGGTCCGGCCTGTCCCTGCACTAGTCAGTCTCCAGCCTGGCTCCTCCCCCTGCCCTTGTTCTCAGCCCCTCCCCTAAGCTCCCTAACGCCACCCTGCCATCTCCAGCCCTCGAGAAAGGGGGCTGGTGAGACCCCACCAGGTGCTGCCCAACCCCAGCCTGGGTGCCCCCGCTCTGGGATCCCCGAGCGGCCCAGCAGGTCCCCCGCGGCCAGGAGCCTGGCAGCCCCCGGGCAGGGCACGGCAGCGGTGGCTGGGCGGAGGAACGGCAAGGTGCTCTGCTAAGAGCCAGGCCGCGTTTAACCGAGCCCAGTGAGCCGCCGTCCCTGTAGCTCTGACTCAGAGGCTGGTGACCAGGGAGCCTGCAGCCGAGTGATGCCACAAGGGGGGCAGCAGGAGACGCTCTGGCTGCCCCTGGCGGTGCCCTACCAGAGCAGCCTCTTTCGAGACTCACAAAGGCTCAGCCCTGCCCTCCGCCTGGCCAGGCTCCTCGCGGGGACCGAGACAGGCCCCCACACTGCGGGCCGCCGTGCAGGTGGAGCTCTTCTGGGAAGAGCAGCCAGCTGCAAGCTCCCTGCTG